CGGGGGGCCGTCCCCAGCCCAGGTAGCCAACAGCAAGCAAAGCGTGCTCACCTTCCGAGGATTTGGATGGCTGCACAGCGGGAGATTGGCAATCATTTCTTGGTAGGAGAACTCATCCCTCTCGGTGCACTGGATGACTCCGTCCAGGACCAGGACGTTCCCGTAGGTTTTGCTGTAAAGGGGAGAGGGTCCCGCTGGATTTTAAGGAATGAGGTTTCAAAGGGAGGCCTCACAATCCACTTAAGGCAGGGGGGGGGTCTCCAAACCTGGCCCCTTTTAAGACTTGTGGACTCCAACTCCCAGAATTCCTCAGCCAGCAAGTCTTAAAAGGGGCCAAGTTTGAAGACCCCCTGCCTTAAGGCTTTTTCGCCCACCTTGTGTGTCCCCAGGGCGACCCTAACCTGCATCTCATTCCCACCTGCCTCGACTCAGCCTTCCATCTTTCCGAGGTCGGTCAAACGAGGACCCAGATTATTGGGGGGTCTCTATAAAGTGGTCTCTAAAGTCTAAGCGCTAGCGCTAGCTCCCCATCCATCAAACAACACGTGGCAGCTTCTCCTTGGACCAGCACTTTCTCTTCCACTCCGCCCGTTCCCAAAACCCACTTTCCCTCCCGCCGTTTCTTTTCCATTTTTCTCCAACTGGCTCCGGCTGACCCCGATCCCGAGATGCCTAGTCCTGGGCGAGGAAGCCCGTCGTCGGCACCACCAGCCCAATTGGATCTGGTGCCACCGAGGGGCTGCCCCCGGGGGAAGTCCAACCGGGAGGGCCTCTCCGCGATCCTGGCTCCTGGCATCAAACGCCTGGGAAGCCCGGAGCTCCCTCCACGCCCCGACCAGGAAAGGCTGAGGATGCTCCGGCGTGGCGGGGAGAAGCCCCGCTGCACCCAGGACGGGAGCTGGGCTGGGTCGGCTGCACAGCAAAGCCCCGCCGGGCCCCGCTTCCCGCTCGCTCCGCTGGAGCCACTGCAGATCCCCGCTGGAGCCACGGCAGATCCCCGCTGGAGCCATGGCAGATCCCCGCTGGAGCCATGGCAGATCCCCACTGGAGCCATGGCAGATCCCCACTGGAGCCATGGCAGATCCCC